GAATGGAGGTGGCAGGAATTCCTGTAAACAGGCAGGTAGCCAGTATCATCTAGCCTGTCCTGTCTTCTGTGGGATCATAACACCTAGTGCATTTCCTTCCTATTGATGAATAAATAAGTGAAAAGAAAGCGAATGATTAGACATTTCAAGTAGGAGCTAAGGTCAGTTTTTTATATCCTCAAAGAACTTTCCATCAGACGACTATTATATAAGACGGGGAGAGGAATTTTCAGTAAATTGCGAAGGAGTGAGACATCAAAGAAAAGTTTGGTAGCCAGTTCTGGAAGTAACTTCCAAGTCCAAAAATCCTCTGTATTATTCCACTTTCCATTGCTATAACAAAGGCCTGAGGTAAATCAGCTTAGGAAAATTCTGGCTCAGTTTTGGAGGTTTCAGTCCACGGTCGCTTAGCCCTTTGCTCTTGGGCCAATAGCAAGGCAGTGTGTTGTGAGGGAAGCTCACGTCGGAGGCTGCTCACCTCACCTCACGGCGGCTGGAAAGCACGGTAATAGAGGAAGGGTCGGGCCCCAGCACTGCAATGTAGAGCACACTCTTAGTGGCCTAACGTCTTCCCTCTAGGCCTTCTCTCTTGACAGTTCCACCACCTCCTCACAGAATCATGAGCTGATGACCAGCCATTAACACAGGGACCCAGTGAGGCACATTTGTGCAAGTCCTGTCATCCATAAAGCTGTCTCTTAGTGTGGGAAGTGGAACAGCTAAAATGCCTGGAGGGCAGGAAAGGCTGACAGTCAGATCCTTCGGTGTCAAGAGGGATCCTGAATATTTGACAAAATTCTGACATAACTGATTATTTTTTGAGATCGTAAGCCGTAGATGACAGACTGTGGAGTAAACGAATGCTGTCAGTCAGGCAAGGTTCTTGGGATGGAGAAAACAAAAATAGATCATTTACATATTGAATAAAGGTTGAACTAGATTAGAAGGAGGCATCAGCTAAATCAGCACTAACAATTCATCCAGGTCCTTGTTACTGTCACCTCCCAGATGAAGGCAAAGAGGTATCCACTGCCAGAGTGTGCTGGCTCTCTAAGGAAGGTGGTATAGGTGTCAACAGTCAAAAATAGTGATTCTGAGGGGAGCATTGGGAAGCAGGCATGAAGGTCTGGGTCGAATGGGTGCTGGGGAAGTGACTATGTTTTTAACAGTTCTGAGATCCTCCCATCTTTTCTGCTAAGGTTGTGGACGGGTAGAATGGGGGTCCCGCAAGAGCTGGTACAGGAAACAATAATCTTCTCATGTGATAGGTGTCAACAGTCAAAAATAGTGATTCTGAGGGGAGCATTGGGAAGCAGGCATGAAGGTCTGGGTCGAATGGGTGCTGGGGAAGTGACTATGTTTTTAACAGTTCTGAGATCCTCCCATCTTTTCTGCTAAGGTTGTGGACGGGTAGAATGGGGGTCCCGCAAGAGCTGGTACAGGAAACAATAATCTTCTCATGTGCAAAGTCATTCATTATGGGTTGTATACCAGCCAATACCTCGGGATTAGTGGGTGTTGTTGGAGAGACTTGTTATGGTCCACTTAGATTTTAATTGGAGATTTTGAAAGGTATGATTATATCAGTATTAGGGTGAACCCGACACTTTGGGTAATTCTAGAGGGGCAGAGGGGCAGGGTAAGAGCAGGCTGGGTAAGGGCTAGCTCTGGAAGACCAGAGTCTTCTGGTAGGGTTAATCCTGGTGTCATTTCCAAGGGATACATGTCTGATATCCTTCCAGGAAAATGTCTCCCCAAAAGACAGATAGGTACTGACATGGTGAGTAAGAAACAGTACCTTCCCCAAAGAAGGCTGAATTGGAAAGAAATGGGTAGGGATTTGAGAACTGCCCTAAGTTGCTTAGCACTCCAAACATCTTGATAAAGTCAGAACTCTGGAGAGGAAGCCATTGAAATTCTGTCAGGGTGAAGGACAGACTTGTAGCTTTAAGGTTAACCAGAGCACCAGATAATTTATTCCCAAACTTACAGGTAATTCCCCCAGTTGGTTTTAAGTAGGGGAAATGTCCCCAGACCAATTCAGGCTAGCTTGGGTGGAGAAAGGGAAGTAACTTTGTTACAGTCTGAAGACAGCCCATTTTCCAATGGCCCATGAGCGCAGAAAAGGCAGCCTTCTGACCTGAGCTGCACTGGTGATCAGATGACCCTCTTTACTTGTCAACCGAAGGCGATCACTTTGGCGGTTTTCCCCTGGGAATGTAAGGCTCTGGTAATTCTAGGTTCTTTCCTTTTTCTATGGTGCTGGACAGCTGTTAGCTAGGGAGGCTATTTCATGGGACATTTTGCTGCCCAGTAGAGACTGTGCTTTTCAAATAGGGTGCTGAGAGCGGAAAGGCCAGCCACAAGTATCAAATCCATCCAAGTAATTGAGGACTGAGTCATTCTTTTGAGGGTGCAATGTTGGGCTGCCTTCCAGGTCATGTGATGAGGGAAAAATCAAAGGAGTGGCCCCTCTAATGCTAGCTTCCCTTCATTGATTTACAAAATCCTCATCTGGAGGCTGGTTTGAAATCCCCAAGTGTGTTTCCAATTTAGCCCTTAGCATCCGTGCCTGAGCTAGCACGTTCCCCAACAAGCATGTGGTTGAATTAGAAAGATCTCCAATCTAGCTTGGTAGGCACTGATGAGCAGGCTAAACTGTTGTTGAAAGTGAGTGAGCTGGTTTTAGTGTTTGGGGAATCTTTGATACTGGATAAACACTCTGACTTGGTCTGAAGAGTTGAGGGACTTGTCTGTCTCCATTTCCTGTCTTTTGGATATTAAAGGGAGCTGTTGGGGAAAGAACCCGAGGAAAGCAGCAGAGGAGCTGGGGCAGGAGAAGGGGAGATTGAGAGTAGGAATCTGGAAAGAAGGAAGGAGGAGAGGGATGTGGAGGCAAGGAGGCAGGCGAAAGACGAGGAGGGACAGTAGCAGCAGCATTTGCAAGAGGATCCATTGTTTTTGATTTATCTCAATTGCCATTACTTTTTCTAGTTAATATAAAGCCACTCCTTTAGTTTGTAAGTGTTCACTTTGAGAGATGTAGTAATAGATTTTGAAGCCCTTTTAGATGTTTCAAAATACTAAATAAAAAACACCTTGCACTACCTCTGAGAGGCTCCCTGGGGACAGCGATCGCTGACACAATGAGGACCTACACTAACAGTGCTAGAACAGCAGCAATACGGGACGTGACTTGGGACAGCAGCTTCTTTCCTCTTTAGTAACTTCCTCGTCTGTCACAACGTAGAGAATTTACAAACAGTGAGAAAGACCTTGTGGGATCCAGAATTCACTCCTCTTACCATCTTTTCTCCAGGGCAAAGTCTGGAGATCTGTCCTATGAACGGTCTGTCTACCTGAAGATACCATGCTCTCTGTGTCTCCCTGCGGTGGGGACCTGGCTATAAACCTAAGAGTCCTGGCCAAGGCTGGTAAACCCATGACCCCTGGGGCCCTGGGAGAGAATAAAGCAGTCGAGGCCACGGTTAGAGTAGACATGAGAGAGTGGGGAAGACAAGGTTATCTACCGTCCTTGCCTCCTGTGCAGTGATTGTGATTGGTACTGGAGCGTGTCCTATTGTCCATTTCATGGACCTGTGGGACCCAGGTCATAGCTTCTCTAGGTCCCAAGGGATAGGTACAAGTGGTATCAGTGCTTTTGGCACCAGCAGCCATGGCTCCAAGTCCAAAGGCTCCGGAGGAGATGTCCCTAGGGCCCTGTGCTAGTTACCTTCTCTCCTTGCTTAGACAGAATACTGCACACCAACGTTAAACAGAGGTTTCTTTAGCTCATGCTTGGTGAGGTTTCAGTCTAAAATCAGCTGGCTCCAAGGCAGAACATCACAGGGTAGAAGGAAGTTGCACAGGAGAAACAGTTCACGGTGCCCCCACAGAAGCAAAAGCAAGGAGGGAACCTTAACTGTGTCTTTCTGCCCCTTTTGTTCTATCCAGACTACCAGGAAAAGGGCGGTGCCAAGCCCAGCAGCGGACTGATTTGTAATCACACACCCTTAATCACATGCTCTGGATCCAGCCACCTCTGGAAAGCCCTCTGTGACCCCATGAGGCTTTGGGCGGACATCTAGACACAGCCACAACAGTCCCCAGGGCATGTGCAAGTGACGTTTGGGATTATGGAACTGGCATCCATGCGTCTGGAATTGTAGGGCATGGATGATCTATATTTTTTATGTCATCTGCCCTTAATTTGTTTAGATTTTTTTTCTGATGAACTTGTATCATATATTGAACTATATATGGTCCATTTTTCATTAATAAGATGATATTTTACATACGCTTCCTCTCCTAGTCCATTTATAAACACGGATGTAGCCCCAAGTCTGAGCCAAATATTTGTGAAGGATTCTTAGTTATCTTCAAACTGCAGTACACAGAGAGTTTACAAATTCTTTATACCTGCTGGCTATGGGACAAGATTCTTCATTCGTACGATTTCAGCCCAGATGTCATATGAATGGCATCAAAAGCCAAAACTTTGCCTCTTGCAAGCAGTTCAGGAGTGTGCTATGGGGAACATTTGTCAAGGGACAGTAAAATTTTAGCCTTTTCCAAGAGCCCAGCTTTCTTGTAATGGATTTAAAACAATGACACATAGTGGCCATTGAACCTGTTAAAAACTTACCTCTGATGGTTCATATTTTCTTTAAAAAGAAATAATTCACAAGTGAAATACACCTTTCAGACATGCTGGATTTTGATTTTGTCCGGTTACTGTCCCTTTTGCTTACAGTAAGCATTATCACATCCAAGAAGAGAAAAACTTTGTCTAGAATCTGTAATGGCTTTGAAAATAGCTTCATCTCTTATTAGATATTATACACATTTTTAGAAATCTGATCCTAGTCTGGGCTTTTTTCCAGCAAAATAATCTGTTCAGAACCAAGGTCTTCATTAGATGGTATATTGGTAAATGTTTCTGTGTAATTCTCAGCTACTTCATAATCATCAGTGGTTTTTCTCACCACTGATTATTTCAGGCGGTTTTCGTTGGTGGTTCTTTACCCTGGAACAGTTTTGCTTTCCACACCTCACTGCCAGCTCCCACGAACAGACCACAGGTAAATCGTGTGCTGCAAAATGTCACACAGAGCAGAGGCTGACCACAGTGGCTTTCACTGTGCTGCTCCCAAGAGTCTAGATTCGTGCATTCCACAAACACTTGCCTTGCAGTCCTGTTCCTTGAGGGTTAGCTTGTCTCGCTACAGAGCAAAGCAATTAGGGCGGCTGCATCGCTTCTCCATTTTCTGATGGATTTCAGTCGGGCGAGTTCAAGATCGTCCTCTCTGGCTGTTCTGCTTCGTGCGATGCTGTTCAGTGTTTCACGAGTTCGTGGTCCTCGCTGTTTCTGTTCAGTCCCAGCACCTTGCCTTTGAAAGTCATAAATAGCGGGGACTCCCACAAACACTGTTCAAACTTCTGCAGCTCTTCCACACTATTACACATGCCGGATGCTTGAGTGTATTTCTCACGTTTAGCCATGTATTTGAAAGCTCTTTTGAGACATTTTGTAAGCTGAATGAAACACAAGGATGATATGTGTAGGAGTAGATACATATATGGACTCCAAGTACAAGTTTCCTTATACTGAAAACACACTGATCCATCAAGACATCTTTTTACCTTTACTCCTGCAGGCAGATCTGACCAATGGATGGGACAGGGATCTCCTCAGATGGAGGGGGATCAAAGAAGGAGAGAGGGGCCCGGGAGGGTGGGAGAAAAAACAGAAAGATGTAGCTGGAGTGGGCGAGTGGGAAGGGGCCTACAAAGAATTAAGATGGGTCACACACATGCGCCAACGCCTCACAGTGAGTGGGATCATTATACTAACAATGTAAAATAGTTTTAAATGTGTGGTTTTCTGAGCTTCTGAATTTGAAGTTCAGATAAAAGATTTTGGATTAGTGCTGTGATCATGAGTTTGATCCTTAAACCTCTCAGTAGACTTCCAGTGCTCACTGTAAATCCAAACTCCCGATAATAACAGGACTTTCAAGTACACAGTCGTCCGTGGCTTCTGCAGTCCCATTTTTTACGCTCCTCCCTTCGTTTGGTGTCTCAGTGCCCTGTTGTCTTACGGTTTTGTTTTTTTTTAAAGAAATTCACCAATTCTTCCAGCTTGTGCACGTGGCACTGCCTTTCCTGACATGTTTTCCGCTTTTCCCCTAGCGTTTGCCTGCGACACTCTCTTCTTCCACCTCACGCTGACCGAACGTTTCGTGACACACTTCGGTGTCACTCCTCAGAGTC